TCAGTCACATGACTGCCAAGCCACTCCCAGTCAGTCACATGACTAGCAAGCCACTCCCACCAAGTCACATTGCCAGCAAGCCACTCCTACAAAACAGGCCACACCTACAGAAGAGGTTCTAAAAAAATTTGAAACCCACCACTGGGACAGTCCCATTGGTATTTTCATTTCAAAAGTTCAATAAGATAGGCAAACTTTCCTCAAGATCTTTCAGAGTAAGGATTACCACCTAGTTGGAAAAATTGCTAAATTGGAGTTGGTCATCTAGGATTGAGAGGATGTTTTAATTTGTACCCAAAATTTTCCATTAATTACTTCAACATTAAGGTTTGTGAATCAATTATATTTTATTTTGGTTCTCTATATCTATCCACTCATTTACCTTCTTTAGCGAATCGGATCAAATATTTTTCCAAGTTGTTTACATGGTGTTTCTCCAGGTAGCTGTAAAACTGGAATAATGTCACAGATTCAGCTGGAAGATCTCTTGAGTTGCTTAATAAAGTGCCTCCAACTATCTGTTCCAGGAATACCTGCAAAACTGAAGAGGATGGCTGAATTCAGTTTTAACCATAATATATTGATTTATTTACCTATTTCTAAGGTTATAGGCCACCTGTCAAGTTGATTCACAAGGTGCCAAAACAATCCATAATAATGCAGTATAAACTATAATTTCATGAGCTGCAATGCTTATACATTTACATAAATAGTTACAAGGGCTAAAATATGTAGCAGCAGGATAAATATCAACAGGTGCTTACTTGATGGAAAACAATATAATATTAAACTCTGATGTTGCAAAATTAATTACTTACCAAATAGCATTCACATTTTTATCAGAAAGCCAATAAGAGCCTTTCAAAAATAATAATTCTCTAAGGTCAATATTTATGCCAAAAAACATAACAGGAGGCTAGAGCATAGAATATAGTAGATTCCACAGTTCAACCCTGAGTTACATACAGGTATATTCCTTTCTGTTGGAATAAGATACTATTAACTACGAAATAGGGTGGTTTGAAGGAACTGGCTATCCTGAATTGGCATGCAGATTGGAGAGGGATCTAAGACTTCTACAAATCCGAATTTACCTGCCAGAGGTACACTATTGTGTAGGATTTGACAGGGCTTGCTGTGTGCATCACGGCATGGTTCGGCGGCCCTTGCTTCAATCGCACTGTGCTTGCACCCACCAGACTCCACTCTGCCCTAAAGGAAGTGATGTAGCAGGCCCAACTGGGTTCTAGAGCCAAGGTGGCGCAGTGGTTAGAGTGCAGGCTACTTCAGCTGACTGCAGTTCTGCAGTTTGGCTGTTCAAATTCTCACCGGCTCAAGGTTGACTCAGCCTTCCATCCTTCCGAGGTGGGTAAAATGAGGACCCGGATTGTTGGGGGCGGCAATATGCTGACTCTGTAAACCGCTTAGAGAGGGCTGAAAGCCCTATGAAGCGGTATATAAGTCTAACTGCTATTGCTATTCCTTCACATGCATGGTATTTAGCAGAGTTGGTCTGTTCCATCCTTGGATAGTTATGGGCCTTCTTTTAGATGCCCAACAAGCAAGCAGCTCAGTGCTGAATGCTTTAATCCCTGCCTCCTCTTTGCCTGACAGCAAGGATCAGAAGAAAACAGGTGGTCCCCATCTGCCAGGTGCCACTTGCTTTGTTGCTCAGGCTGAAATGAGGCCCAGGAGCCTCCTAGAAGTTCCTGTAGCATAGGAGTGTCAAACTCGATTTTATTGAGGGCTGCATAGGGTTATGTTTGACGTTGGGGAGCTGGGGGGGGGGCATGGTGGGCATGGCCAGCTCGACGTCACTCATGTCAGGAGCACCTGTGGTGGCCAAATGCCAAGGTGGGACTTCCCTCAGCCTCCCCTCACTCTCATTATAATCTCTTTCCCTCCTTCCTTCCTTCTCTTATTTTTCCATCCCTCCTCATTCTCCTTTCTTCTACCTTCCCCTCTTTCCTTCTTTTTCCTTCCTTGCTCACTTCCCAGCTTTCCTTCTTTTTGCCTTTCCCTTTCTCCTTTCCTGTCCCTTTTTGCATGTTCAAATGCAAAAGGGGAAACATTTCTCCTTTTGTTTCATTTTTGGTTTTAGTTCTGCTAGCCCTGTGCCAGAGAAAACGGAGCTCGGGGGAGCTGCGTTTTTGGCTGGGATGGCCTCCTGCAATCCCCTACAAGCAGAGGCACCGCGGGCCAGTTCTTTGCTGTTTCCAGAGCAGCCCTGCAGGCCAGATCTAAAACCTGGTGGGCCAGATTCCCCCCCCCCCCGGGCCTCTAGTTTGACACCCCCGCTGCAGCAAATCACTTTCTGCTTGTATGCTGGGCAGGGACAGATATGAAACATCTTGCTCTCCATAGGATTCTATGAGATGAACACTGCCCCCTAGAGTCAGATACGACAGTACAGGGGAATCCTTTACTTTTACCTTGAAAGTGGCCACAGAGAAAGAGCAAAAGCATAGCAATAATGTATTTTTGAAAATATTTACGTGTAGACATTGCTTATCAGCCATCTCATTTAATGGCTATTTGTAGTTACAATATCACTGAAAAAATAACTTTATGACCAGTCCTCATGTTTACAACCAATGCAGTGTTCTTGTAGTCACATCAAGTGACTACAAGAACAGTTCTAACCTCTTCCACTATGTTACCTCCANCCCTCATAATTTTAACCTTAAACTGTCTACCATGGACCTCATCCCATTTTTACGAGGTCCATAAAGGGGGCGTGCATAAGCGCACCAGCATGTCTTCCATCCCTGTCCTACTGTCCCCATTTATTTGTACTAATTGCCTTTGTTTATGTCCATGTTTACACTTATACCTGTTATCTTGTATATGTTTAACAAACTAAATAAAATAAGTAAATAAATAAATAAATAAAATAAAATAAATGATCCCAGATCAGGACAGGAGCAACTAGACAGATGCCACTTAGTGGAGCCCTTAGGAGGATTCCAAGGACAGACAACGTATCTTAAATTCTCTTGAGGAAGAATTTGGACACCCTCTGCTGGCTGTTGATGAAACCTGTTCAAATAGTTCCTTTCCCCAAAGGATATTCTAAAGCAATCTGGAGATTCTCAGTCATCCAGGTCATGGTTGTCCCAAAGGTGCTTTTTCAAGAGGCAACTGGACTTTCTGGTTTTTCTTTGGAGATGTTTTGCTTCTCATCCAAGAAGAGCTGAAGAAGCAAGAAGCAAAACATCTCTAGAGAGAAACCAGAAAATCCAGTTGCCTCTTGAAAAAGCACCTTTGGGACATTCTAAAGGAGTGTTTTACAAATTTGGCACTTTGAGAAGTATGGACTTCAATTCCAAGAATTTCTCGGCCAGCATGCTGCAAAATAGAGGCTCTCAAACATTTTGGTCTTTTACATTCTTAAAAATGATAAAGGTAAAGGTTTCCCCGCACACACATGCTAGTCATTCCCGGCTCTAGGGGGTGGCACTCATTTCCGTTTTAAAGCTGAAGAGCCAGCATTGTCCAAAGACGTCTCCGTGGCCATGTGGCCAGCATGACTAAATGCCGAAGGCACAAGGAGCGCTATTACCTTCCCACCAAGGGTGGCTCCTATTTTTTCTACTTGTATTTTTTACATGCTTTCGAACTGCTAGGTTGGCAGAAGCTGGGACAAGTAATGGGAGCTCATTACATTACGCGGCGCTAAGGCTTCAAACCGCTGAACTGTCATGTCTATCAGTATTTACTGTATTGGAAATTAAGACTGGGAAATTTTTTAAGTATTTATTTGATTTCGTCAACCTCCTCCCCCACCCCTCGCAAGACCACAGTTTGAGAACCACTGGTCTAAAGATTTCTTTAAAAGCACTCACTCTGAGGTTTTTGAGGGCTAGACAAGCGGCTTGCTGTAGTTTGGCATCATTGTTGCTTAAAAGATCTGTGTAAAAAGGAAGAGCCTGTAGTAAAAAGAATGTAACAAGGCTGTTAATATTTCTTCTTTAAAAAAAAAATACTTTAGCATAAATGCCCTAACCCTGACCATAATCGGTAGAAACCACCCAGTTGTAATCCTTACACATCTGGAAAGCACCAAGCTGGAGAGAAAAACTGTAATTTAGCAGACTTAAAGGGAATTCTAGGTGTGTATGTGATTCTGCTTTTCATCCTTCCTTTGCAAATAAAGATATGGCGTTTCTCAACCTTGCCAGGTGGGAAATTCTGGAAGTTGAAGTCCAGATACCTTCAAGTTGCCAAGGTTGAGAAACACTGGTTTTCTTCAATCTGGCTCTACTCTTGGAAAGAGCCGATCTATACATTTCTTAATTCCCAATGCAACACATTCTTAGTGGAAGTGGCAAATCATGGGAATGTAATTCCCTGAATCTGGAATAAGGAAAAGCTGGCTCAAAATACTGGGCTTTGAAAGAAGATGCAAGATTGGATCAACTTGCCTTCAGACGTTGTGGGAGCTCCCTCACTAGAGGTTTTGAAGAAGAGATTGGACAACCATTTGTCTGAAATTATGCAGGGTCTCCAGCTTGGGGTTGGACTAGAAGACCTCCAAGGTCTCTTCCAACTCTATTATTTTATTCTATCTCTGGTTCGTCATGTAGTTCATGAATCTGAATAAAACACCTTCCCTTGGGTTAGTCTACCTAACCTAGATTACTATTAAATTATACATGGAGGAAGGAAATGATGCATGTTAGCAGTAGATCTGTAGAAGATAAAAAGAAGAAATCACTACATTAAGGACACTTGTTCCGGGTGCATAAAGAATACAGATAGTCCTTGACTTACAACCAAAATTGAGTCCAACATTTCTGTTGCTATGTGAGACATTTATTGAGTTTTGCCCCATTTTATGACCTTTCTTGCCACAGTTGATAAATGAATCACTGAGATTGTTAATAACATGAATGTTATGTGAATCCGTATTGATTTTGCTTGTCAGAAGGTCACAAAAGATGATCCCATGACCCCAGGACACTGCAACTGTCACAGTTGGTTCCCAGGTTTCTGAATTTTGATCACGTGACCATGGGGAAGCTGCAACAGTGGTAGGTGTGAGAAATGGCCATAAGTCACTTTTCTCAGTGCTGTTGTAATTTCGAATGGTCACTAGATGACCTGTTGTAAGTCAAGGACTACCTGTCCATACCTATACTGGCTAGGGTTTACATGGCACTTCATTGGGAGCCACTGCCAACAAAGCAGGGCAGCAAAGAAGAGCAACAAAGATGATCAGGGGACTGGAGGCTAAAACTTATAAAGAATGGAACGGGGTATGTCTAGTTTAATGAAAAGAAGGACTAGGGGAGACATGATAGCAGCCTTCCAATATCTCAGGGGTTGCCACAAAGAAGGAGTCAAACTATTCGCCAAAGCACCTGAGGGCAGGAGAAGAAGCAATGGGTGGAAACTAAAGGAGAGAAGCAATTTAGAACTAAGGTGAAATTTCTTGACAGTTAGAACAATTAATCAGTGGAACAACTTGCCTCCAGA